CCTCGGGATTTGAGGAGCCTTGGCCTTCCCGCATGTCTTTAGAAGTTGAGAGCGTGCCAATAGTGTCCGAAGCTGCGACATGTGTGGTATCTACTGGGTTGAGTGAAGATTCCCTTCTTCTTCTTCGTCGCTCGGTCAGGAGCGCTTTAGGCTGTATCGATTCTCTCTCGTTTTACATGCACTTCTGGAGTAATAGGACTTAGACCCGAGGTAGCTTACTAGCGTCATCGCCGTTGATGAAAGGATGAATGTCGACTAATATGTGAGTATATTTGGGAGCAATGGTGATAGGGTCAACTGTGCCTTTCTTGCTGGCTTTTTCAGCTCTGACTCGAGTTTGTAGATCATTCCCTTCATTTAGTAGGGCACGTAGCTTAGATGAGGAAATTGGTGCAGGTCGGCGCTGACGGTAGGCATTTCCCAACTTCGCCAAGTCCGAATTGACCTTTGAGGGCCTCCGCAGGTAGGTCTCTCATCCACGATTGCTTATTGCTGTCATTCACAATATCTCTTTGTTGAGAGCGCCAACTGATTGAGATTTGCAGGAGCATTGCGTTTATGGAAGCCCCGCGCCTGGGTATTGGACCTTCCCATAACGTATTGTAGGATTTCAGTTCGTTCATCTCTTTGTCCTCGTACGGAGTGAGAACTGGGAATCAGGATGGCTCAATTTCAGCTTACTAGGCTCGACTTTGTACTCACGATAGAAACTCTGGTTGTTCGCTCGTCGTTTTCGGGTTGTGACATCGGCACTGCCTCAACGTCAACCCTCGTCCTGACCAGACACTAAGGAAGAATGTTCTTCTGTCGTGTCTGGAATGCTTTATCGTCAACTGCTTTAGTCGCTGGTATGCTGTATGGCTTAAAGTCCGGGGATTCCTGTCGTACCCCCGCCGTTTATACCGATGTCTGTCATTTTATGCATTAGTGATAACTGCGCCCGCGTTCACTCTCTAAGATGAGGCTCTTATCTGTTCACACCTCAATCCCGCGTCTTCCCGATTTGGTCGACATGAAGTAAATTCTCCTCTCTTTGTGGCTGGTCGTTTGCCCGTAGCTGTTGATTGAAGAACTTTGATGGCCTTGCTCACGGTGGATGAACTTCAATGGAGGTGATGGAAGTTCCACTTCCACAGCAGAGATTGTACTTGGTGTTCTCGATCGATTCGTTGATCATTTCGGTACTAAGGAGGCGCTGGGCAGTCCTCGATTGTGCCTCGCCTGGGTTCTCATCCCCAAATTTGTACCCACGATATCTGGTTATGCTCCGGTCTCCATGGCCCATTATTGGGTCCTTTGCAAGATGGATGTTCCTTGGGGGTGTTGGGTGGGGTGTTGGCTATTGATGATGAAAGGAAAACTAGATCTCGCAAGTGAGAAATGAATCGTCATGTCAACTCAGGGAACCGTTGTACCTGCTGTGAACTTTGAGGAGAATGGACGTTGGTTGCTAAAACAAACCGAGGTCTCTATGTGGAATCAAAGAGAAGGAAAATAAGAGACGTAAGTGGAAGATGGTGGTTTGGGATTGAAGTGAAGAAGGGGTGGCGAGGCTTGACTTCAGAATATGGAATACGAAGTGAAGAAAATCAGAAGGGATATGGGTCTTAGGCAGGAAGCCTGAACAACTCGGTCACCTCGGCAATTCTACCTACATATCCATAGACGTATTGTTTGACTTGTATCCATGGATATACTTACGATGCCAAAATATCTGAAGGTACTAAACCCACGCAGTCCCATCAACAGGATTCAGATTTTGAACTAAAGAACTTTGTGCAACTCCAGTCTTTTACAATATCCTGGACTAGGATGTTGCCTTTTAATAGTAAATACCCTTAGGGAACCCTTAATTTGTTGAGAGATCTCCGATTTCCCCGTTGTTGCCTGATTTGTTAGGCCTTTGTTTACAGACTGAGCATTTAACTAGTCGCTTGCAGGCATATAAATGCCTTGCCTTTGGTAGTTTGAATGATCATGACTTCTTCTCCTTCCCTCTCAACTGTTAGCAGTAGCCTCGACATTTATAATAGCAAAGGACATCCAAAAAAGGAGATATAAAGAGACGCCAAAGGGACGCGCGAAAGGACATCGAAAGGACACCCAAAAAGACACCCAAAAAGCCTCCTAAAAATGTCTTCAATACGATTCTCCAATACATCCCAGGTCAACCAGATCGGATTATACCAGAGAAAGCTCGTTGTCGATGTGCTGCTATATGCTGGCATACAGGTGAGCAAATACTTATGTATCTACAGAACTTCCAGAACCCTTCTCTCATCCTCCCACCGAAGAGCAAACATGACTTATTTGGACGCCAAGTGGTCGATGCATAACTCTTTGAATGCTTGTTGTTTCCAAGCCTGTTTATCTTCAAGGGGTCATCACGGTCGTACATTCCCACGACAGACCTCTCAGCGATGGATCCTCAGCATCTCGATATCATAGCTCAGTGCTCATCGCCCAGATCCAGCTCTCAATACCTTCAAACTGACGGTTTCTATCAATTCGCGACACAAACGCACGTCAACATCGCCTGTACTAAAAGCATATAGTAACCTGTACCTCACGAGACGCGGAGTGAGGGCATCGTACCGGCACCGACACATGGCGAGCGTATCGTCGATTGTCAGCATCCGGTCGGCGGACTAGGATATGCAGATTGTGGAGTCCAGCAGTCCGGCAGACGGGGATATCACGCATTACCGTACTAGTGAGGACTGCCATCCATTCTCTCGTCGACTGTCTCCGGGTGCAGTTCTCGGCGGCTACTCTGTTCAACCCTGCGTTGCGATCCGCGGCGTTTAGGGTCACCCCAGCCGAAACCAATTAAACGGGCTTCTTTCCCCCGCCATCGACTGTACCGATCCTATGAGGCCATGCTTCACATATGTCAATCTCTTCGTCCAGTGCTAGGATCGGTAAGAAGTAGTAGCTTCTTAACCTAAGTGCTAGTGCTAACGGATAGTTCTTGGCTGCCATTGTACGAACGTTGGTGAGCAAAACTCACATTAGGCTTTACGAAAGGTCGGCCATACTGCGGGCTCCCATCAGTATAGGAAATGAATGTGGGGATGGGATCCCTTGGTACCCATCTAAACAGCGAGCCGTGAACGCGGAGTCTTCGACCTTTTGCAAGGGTCAAAAAGGTTGACTGCAGTATTCCATCGGTGGGTTATCTCCCTCCAGATAAGGTCCGGTGCCTCGTGGCCGGGAATTCATTGCCAGGTTTGGATTAGCTCCCGTGCTTTCACCCAACCCAGTCTCCAACACCCAGTAGAGTGACTCTCATCATTCCATCGAATTAAGAAGGAATCTGCTCTTTTATTTACGCAAATGGGCCCAGAAAAGCGGTATCGCAGATCACGAGATGGATGTTGGACTTGCAGGGGAAGGTAGAACCCTATCAGACTTGGATGATCAACTTTCATAACACAAAGCAGGAAGAAGAAATGCGACAGCACAACAGTTCCATGCGGAAACTGCACTCGACTTGGACTGTCGTGCGAGCGTGACATTCGACTCGTATGGGAAGACGATGCGCGAAGAAATGCGATGAAGAAAAGGGGACGAGGCATAGCGAGATCTGGAGAACAAAGCATCGAGCTTGAGCATGCAGGGAAGGAGAATACCCTCCTTTTGGCAATGGAGGGCCTTCTAGAAAATCAAATTTTTAATCCCATATTCTGTGGATTGTCTGCATGGCCTTTCGAACTTGATGACACCGAGTCTCTGCTGCTCGACCACTATATTCAGAGATTCTCGAAGACCTATCCGACGTTTTCGGGCCCCACCAACCCGTTCCTAACCGTGCTTCTGCCGTTATCTACTCAAAGTCGCGTGGTGTTCGATTCTCTGCTCGCCCTCAGTGGCGTTCAAACTTGGCAGAATGGATCGTTCTGTATGGGCGAGGCAATGTTGAAGATGAGATGGAAAGCACTACGCGGCTGTCGGCAGCTATTGGCGCAGTTGGATCAGTCTCAAAATGAGCTGGGTGGGCTATCGACTAGAGAGACTACGAGCGAGAATGTGATCAACTTGTTCGCCGGCTGTATGTTATTATTACTCTATGAGAAGCTTGCAGGTGAAGGACAAGAGAACTGGTCACCTCATCTGAGTTTCTTCGCACGAGTTTGTCCCCGCGCTTGCTTTGGAATAACCTCCTCGTGGAACGAGGTTTTCCAGTTTCTATTGAATCTGTTCTCCTACAACGATCTGGTCCGGTCAACCTCATTGCAGACATCGACTCTCTCGGACTTTTACCTCCGGGAAATGTCGTCAACCATACCCCAAATTCAGCAAGCCCCAAACTTAGACCGCTTCGCCTACCCCCGTCTTATCGCTCGGATCAGCGCCGCCGACACAACCGTTACAGATACAGATATCGCCGCCTGGGATGGAAGCCTAGACTGGTTCCCTAGCTTTGCGCTGGTGTCCTCGCTGAACTCAGAAAACCTAGTGATCTTTGATGATTACTATCTCATCATGGATCCCTATCTTCATCATATTGAGCACCTCATACCACCCGCTGACCTGGCCGATGAAAGACTTGTCTCGCGGCTCTACCGAATCGCAGCCATGGTCTACAGACGACAGAGGACAAGCGAGACCCAGTCAAAAGCAAGGCCCGAACCCATGTCTAGCAACAATCTTGCTTTATGGGCAATTCAACTGCTGCAATTGCTACCGGAACGCTCAGCATACGAGAGCACTCTCCTCTGGCCAGTTGGTATTATCGCTAAGGAGTTGACTCTCCGCGATGAGGCAGAGCGAGCGCACATTGTATCTCGCTTGCAAGCTCTAGAACGACAGTTTCACATGAAGCACTTTGGCCGCGTGAAAGATTTTCTCCTCAGTTTCTGGAAGGCCAGTGATCAAGGGACGATGAGCAACAATAACAGCATTATTCTGGTGGGCTGATGGGAATTTATATTTATTATAACTAGCAACAGATCGATCTGGCGCATACACTAGCTTTGAGCTTTGAGTGACCTGAGAGTCTACTGTGCAAGCGGTCTCATCTCGTACAGGGTCTGCTGGATGTATCTGATCTGTTCATCCGCCCACTTACGCATATCAGCAACATTGACTGTCTCAGCTCGACACAGGCCACTCTTCCCCTCCGGATCCGAGTTCTTGACATTCTCTTTGTATCGCTTGCGCAGCGCGTCGGCAACGATCCGAGCACGTTCAGCCAACACATCTAAACGGTACGTCGTCCACTGATAGTACAATTCCGAGAGATGCGATTTGTTTCTGACGTTAGCATTTGTCGTCTCGTCTAGAAGAGTGGCGTCCTTTGGTCGGAACGAGGTCACAATTGTGACACGTTCGGGCATGTTGGTCACGGGCGCCGCTGTATGGGTGATGTATCGTCCTTGGAGGAGCACGGCGCAGCCCTAATTCGGGGTTAGATTCTATTCCCTGGTGGAAGGTATTGAGTATCACTCACCATCTGTGGAGCCTTCACCTTCAAGGTGGTTCCGTCCCCCTTCATCAACTCGGTTTCACCTCCAGTCATGTGTCTCGCGTCCGACAACATGACAACGGAGACGAACGGATGCGAGTCCTTGTGCCATTCAATAATTGGCTTTGTCTGATCGGTGACCTCCTGCTTCTTCGATTTCTCTTCCTCAAAATTCCGGATCGCCTCCTCGGTCGCAACAGGCGGCTCAACTGGTGTATTTCTAACATCGTCAAGACCATTGGGCCCAAGTTGGACATTTGTATGACTGATTTCATAGTCCAGGGCGGGCACGAGCTCCACGCCGGCAATGTCGCTGATGATCCTGAGCACCTCGGGCGAGCGCCAGAATTGATGGATGAAGGGGGCATAGCGCGGCGCCATCCCGCGTAGCTGGACAGATCCAGGCCGCGTGTGATGAAGACAGCTGTCAAGAACATCTTGACTGAAGAGCTCCCGTCGGTGCTGGAGGACTGCCTCGTGTGAGAGGAGAGGAAATGGTTCCGTTGACGCTACTGACGATAACGCTGTGGGTTTCAAACCCAAGTCCTCCATCCCCAGGACGGTCGATGGCGGCGAGAACGCCAAATGCTTGGCGGGATCAAATTGGGTTGGAGTAACCGCGTGGCCGGGTTGTTGCTGCGAAGTCTTGAGCGACGACTTCGGGGCGTCTGCATGGTCGATTGCAATTGGAGGAGACATAATGATTGCTGGGAAGTGAAAGATACAAAAGAACCAATCTTTCTGGATTGATAAACCAGAGAACGAGCTTGCTTCTGGGCCGCTTTGATGGGAGTTTACCTGGTATATTTATGCGATGCTGCATGCAGCATGGGCTACTAATACCATTACCCAATCTAGGCATTCGAGCCGCCATTCCTTTCTCTGGGGGCATGACTTTCAAATCTCCCCTCTCCATCTCCGATTTACTTGGAAGGCCCAACACCATACTGAAAACGACCTATTCGAGCCGCTATGGACGGACATCCAGACCCTTATCGGTGGTGATAGGGCTAAGTTCACGCTACACCAGATTTGGTGTACTGTAGCCGCGCGGGGGAGACTCTGAGGCCCTCGCCCTTTTCACCCCGCATTGATACCAAAGTTAATGTCGGAGAATCTTCGCGGTTTTGATATGAAAGTGCACCTCAGTAACGTAGGTCTCGGGTCATCGCGACGGCGAAAGAGGATGACTTGCCAGAATAGGTGAAGTCTTCCTATCAGACTCTATGATCTCTCCCAATCGGCCAATCTACTTTGCGGGGTATTAAGCCGGGCTTCTTCCCCGAGACTTATGAGATTGTCTCTCGATGAATTGCTTACCACATCACTTTTGTCTGACAAAAACCAAGTAATACGGTAAATCCGCAAACATGACCGACTCCATGGCCGATATCGAGGAAAAGAAGGCATCTGTGAATGAGACGCTTGACACCAATCTCCCGGAGCTCAGCGACAAGGAAATTATCGCCGGCCATGTTGACTACCGTGGTATCGACACTCGAGCGCTCTCACAGGGAGCCGACGAAGTGTACGAAAGAAAGGTTTCGATTCTGAACGAAGCTCTGATCGATCTGGGAATGGGCCCGTTTCAGTGGAAGATCTTTGCGTTGACTGGGCTTGGATGGTTTGTTGATAATGTAACATCCTGTTTAACACGTTGAAATGATTCTGAATGCTGACCGATGAGTAGTTCTGGATGCAAGCCATCACCATCATCAGTCCCGCTGTCCAGGTTGAGTTCTCCGTCAACCGGATTGCCTTCCTCACCGTTGCCAAGTATGCTGGCCTGGTGGTGGGATCGAGCGTGTGGCCGATGACGGCGGATCTCATTGGAAGACGCCTGGCGTTCAATATCACTCTCCTGCTCTCCTCGGTTGCAGGATTAGTCGGTGCTGGGAGTCCGAATTTCGTCGCCATAGCCGTATTTTGCGCCTTTATCGGCGTGGGAACCGGGGGTAATCAGCCGGTTGATAGTGCTATCTTTCTCGAGTTTATTCCTGCGACGCATCAGTATCTGCTTACCATGCAGTCGGGCTTTTGGTCTGTTGGGCAGGCTGTTGCTGCGTTGATAGGATGGTGAGTCGACTTCTGTCTATTGCCTCCCTTGAGCCTCGTACTTAGATATCGATTAGGCCTTTGATTGCGAACTACTCTTGTCCATCCGATACCCCAGCCGGCCAATGCACGTTCCAGGATAATCTGGGTGGCGATATTCCTACTGGACCTTTGGCGGACTGACGCTTGCCATGTTCCTGGCACGGCTGTTCTTCAGAGTCTATGAAACCCCTAAATACCTCCTCGGCAGAGGACTCGACCGACAGGCCGTCGAAGTCGTCTCCAATATCGCAACTCGAAATGGAACTACCACCTGGCTCACGGTTTCTCACTTCGAGGCCATCGACGCACAGCTGGCCACCGAACAATCTTCTCCGACCCCTACGACGCCCAACACGAGCTCCAAGACCATCCTCAATCGCACCATGACCAAGTTCACCCTGGACAAAATCAAAGCGCTCTTCTCTACCCCGCATCTTGCCTTCTCCACCTCCATGATGCTCTTCCTGTGGTGCTCAATCGGCATGGCCTACCCGCTCTACAACTCCTTCATCCCCATCTACCTAGCAAATAAGGGCGTCCAGTACGGGGCCATCTCCACCGCCCAAACCTATCGCAATTACGCCATCCAAGCCGTCTGCGGGATCCCCGCCTCCATCCTCGGCGGCTTCACAGTCGACCTGAAACACATCGGCCGCAAAGGCACGGGGACAATCGCCTGCCTAGGCACCGGCGTATTTCTCTTTCTGTTCACACGCGCCTCAACAAACGCAAGCGTTCTGGGGTTCACATGCGCGATTGCATTCTTCCAAAATCTCGTCTATGGCCTGCTGTACTCGTATACGCCGGAGTTATTCCCCGCTCCGATTCGGGGGACGGCGAATGGCCTCGTTGCGTTGTTTAACCGGCTGTCTGGTCTCATGGCGCCGATTATTGCGGCCTATGTTGGTGTTGATACGGATCTTCCGGTTTGGATTTCCGCGGCGCTCTTTGTTGTCGCGGGGTTGGCGTTTCTGGTTTTGCCGATGGAGACGAGGGGGCGGGCTGCTGCGTAGTTCATGGAGTGTAATCCATAGGTACAATTTAGAAAACTTTGAGGGTTGTATACTTTATAGGACGGTGATTTTAGTTTAGGGTAGTGTTACAGCGACACCCCTACCGTTTAGTAGAACGGACTACCTGCCTCAATTCCCTCAACTGGCTAGCTACGTGCCTTGCAACCGTACTATGGCCTAGCCCTCCATGTCTTACAGAGACTCGGGTCGATGGAAGGTGACTAAGAGAGATTGCTGGGGTGGCATTTTGATGCCGATGTACTGTGGAAGGTCGGAAAGGTGTATACTATTGTTTGTTTGAATATATACCCCAGCATGCCGCCTTCATAAAATCAGGCACTGCTCACCAAGGAGTTGACCTCACCGTTTGGGATTATTATACTACTCTAACTATACATTTAGATATTTAAGTTAAAGGATCTAAATAATAATTCGGGTGAGGATAGCCAATCTCGTGCCTGTACCTCCTTTCCCGCCAAGCTATGGGGTCGACTCCAAACTTTCCTTGAATATGAGTACACTTTCGCAGTCACTGCAACATGAGACATATTTGATAAGAAGAACTACATCGTCAAAATCCAGGCCCTTGAAACAGCATGCTGTGTACTATCTCGCTGGCTGTAATCTTCATTTACTTGAGCTCATTAGTCTACTGACTTTAGAGGCAATAGGACCTTCACCAATGAACAGCACGAATAGCCATTTAGGTTAATCCAAGCTGAGAACTTGGTATGACTGCTCGCTGTCGGAAGCTTTTCTTATGCTCTTGAGAATCCCCGCCTTCGTGGAAGCTATGAATTGATGTTGAATTTACTTTGATGCATTGAGGGCTACCGAACCAGCCATTTAATATGTACATTCTAACTGACTTGGTCATGTAGCCTCTGAGAGTCGCTCTTGCCATAATTGCAAAGACTCTACGTAAGTATACCCCCTCCGGGACGACCTGAGCTCTGGATTATATTGACATAGTCACAACAAAATTTCCCCTCCGTCAAGCCCTGATCCGACTTTGGGAATGGTCATGACTCCCGCAACAACAAGATCCTGAGCTAGCTTTGTGATCAATCCGTCACAACCCTTAGTTGCCATAACATCAACCGTTACCGGAAGGTATTCGGTATGGTTAGTTATAGAACTGAAGGACGCCACTTGGCCGACCGGGAAGACGCTATTAGGAGCTTCCGTGAAAACCGAAATTTCGCTGTTTGAGAAGCCGAAGGGCAAAGCAGGTGGGCTTAGATACCGGTTGCGAGCAGACAGATAACCTGTGCTATCTGTATGGAGAAGGATAGCAGAGGAGCAGGTGAGGGGGTCAGGGTCTGGAGGGAGAATCTTTTCGTTGAACCAATTCATGAACAGCGTTTTGTTGGCGATCGCCTCGGTGACTAAACTTTCTGGTTGAGCGTCTCCCCATGACCAGCGAGCCTGCACGACCGGATCCACAAAGGGAAGACGTCCATTATGGGCGGCTGTGGTAGCATAGTTAGAATTATTTCTAGCGTGACAGGGGGACCCTCGTACCTGTATAATCGCTGAAGAAGGGACCACGAAGAAGTCGAGTCTGATCTTTGGTGATCATTGCGGTGTAAGTGAGATTCAGGAGCTGAGTAATGCTGGCGCCATTTACCTCTGCCGGGCCAGAGGTTTGCCATTCCTCATCCAGTTCGAGAACCGTGACAGTAGTATTGAGAAAGGACGCTAGGCTGGTGGCAAACTTCCTCTGAATCTGTGCTGCCAAGCTATTTGTTTTGGGGAAGTCAAGGACATATAGCTTTCTGGGATATTTCGGTTTGTTATCGCCAAAAGAGGTATAGTTGTCTCCATACAAGGCTGCGTTAGCAACGTCCCATAGGTAAGGGTCGCGGACCGACAAACCAGCGGTGTCCAGCCTTGGTGATAAAGGCATGACACTGTCAAGGCTTACAAGTCCATGAGAAGGACGGTTGCCGAATAGACCCTGAACACCAGCGGGACCTCGAATAGATCCACCTGTGTCGCTACCGACGGCAGTGTCGAGCCACTCGTACGAGGCTACAGATGCGCCAGCCCCTGCGGATGAAGACGCTGTGTCCTGATAACCATCACCACGAGGATTAAACGGTGCATGATAATCGACCCAATCAGCGGTGGGTGTCTCGCCATTGGCAAACTGCGATGGTTTCTGGAGGCCTACTATGATAGCACCGGCGTCGATCAGGTTTTGCATCGCAGTGGCTGTCCTCTCCGCAGGTGGATAGAGGCCATACCAAGCGCGGTTGCCATTTGATTGCTTGACACCGGCGAGTGCATAGATGTCCTTCACTCCAATGCGCACACCAGCGAGCGGCCGGTCTTTTGTGGGTTTGAAATAGAGCCGAGATGGCACGCCGATGGTCAATGAAGCTGAGGAAGGTATCTGTGCGGATACCGGCATAAACTTTTCTTCGGGCGTTTGTAAGAGGGACTGGCTGAAGGCGCCGGCAAAGTCATCAGAAAGACGATATGCCCGGTGAACGTTGCCAGTAGAGGTGTCGAGGAAATATGGGCCGGAAGGGAGCCCACAATTCTTAAATAATGGCAAAATCTCAGATTGAGAGTTGTTGACACGATAATTAGCCCCCACACGATGCCTGCTGTTGGAGCTAGCAAGCAAAATAGTGTCCAAAAATCCGGGTTGCCAGACATCAGCTTTGACTGTCCAATCTCTGAATAGGGCTTGGAGATCTTGTTCGACTTCTGCAACAATTGTGACTGGAATCAATCCAAAATAGCCTTGCTGGCTGTTCTTGAGTGTGCGACCATGGTGTGCTTGGCCCTGGGAGAATGGCGAAACGAAATAGTGCACATCGTTGAGCTTCACCGAAGCACCAGTGGGAATCACGATTGCGGCTACAGGTGGTAGCAAAATAACTCAGCGCCAATATCCCGAACATGGTACTGATCACAAGAAAGGGATTGAAGTGGTTACAACGTACCACTCTGCTTTGGTGTCGTGAATCTTATAGTCTTTATACTTCTAAAGGTGACTAGTTATTAACACGGTTTATAATACTCCTTGTCATCTATATTATCTAAAGATTGTAATGATAGGCAGTTATCATTATCCTTATTTTGCTTCTGAAGTAGAGTCACTTGTGTTGATACGACTCCTTAACTATTGATAGGTCTATTCTTTGCTTGACAGTGGACCCAACAGCACCGCTGCTAGGCTATTTTAGGTTATTCTTGCCGCCACAGTTAAACAAACCCGCATTGATATCAACATTATTGGCGCAAGACCACTGCCAAGACAACCTTGTTAAAATTCCTTGCAGCGGAAATAAAGGGGGTGCGGGGGGTTAAATGTCCGAATCTAATGGCATCACTCTGTACACTTTTACAGGAGTGGGCAACAAAGGCATTACACTCAATGGTGTCTCCCTCCGTATCTACATAACTTGCAATAACTGTGCAGTGTTGTTCAGCGTATTTATACAATGGGCTCACTGGTCTCAAAATCTAGACAATGCTTTAGACGATAGGCCAGCCGTGCGATCTTTGAAGCATTGCAATCAGTTCATTGACCGAGCCGTGCTGGGGATTCCTTTTGCCCACCTTGTCGAGGCCGAACGGGTTCATTGAAACCACGAAGCCATTGCTGCCAACCTGAACAGCGACAGCAACCGGCCCGCCGAAAAAGAAAGAGTCCGAAGATTGGGCCAGTGCGCTGGGACCCAACTCGCAGGCCGACAGATGTGGGGGTTTCAGCAAGCTCCACTAACCGTTACAGTTCATACTTGGAAAGTTCTTGGCTGTGCTGTTCCAAGATATGCTGTACACCACCACCACCGCAAGGCCCCGCGTCGCCAGACTCACTTGAAAACAGAGGATCAGACGCCAAGGCATGAAATGGGAAAGGACATTTTGAAAAAACTCTCACCAAAGAGTCTGGGAAGTAAGGCCCTGGATCTGGTTGACACGACCAAGCGCAAGCTGCCACACACGTTGCCCGTCTTCAACGGTTACTTTGACGCCTTTCTCTAGAAGTCCTCGGAGAAGTTTCTTCCATTCATTTGGGATAGGCAGCTCTGTAACTGCCTGATCCCTATGAAGAATTATATAAGATTTCGCTCTGTCACTGGTTTTGCGGTGTAAGGGTTGAGCGTGAAAATCAACTTGCGTAGTAAGGGTCTTTTTGTCCCGTGGAAAGTATTGTTGTCTTCTTAATTGAGCTGTGTCTTTTCTTCCAAGGTATATCAGACATTCTTATTGCATTTCCGGATCGCTAGAATACTCCCAAGGGAAGACGCACCATGTGTGGGTGCTGGAAGAGTGGCCAATGGTAGGCAATGTCGACTAATTGAAACAATTGACGCCAGGAGATGCTCAGCGAAGCAAGAAATAAAAGCCTACCATGATGCTACCGCGCGCTCCACAAAGTATTACCTTACAGCATGCACGATTCAGCCACACATCTCGTTGCACCTATCAGAAAACGGCAACATAACAATTTCCTGTAGATCAATTGCGGGTCCTATCACACAAGGAGGGCGTCGGCGGCTAACCAAGGGGACTCTTAACCCCTCGTTTCATCTTAAAAACAAGAGCGACAGTTCGTTCTACTGACAGGCGCCTACTGGATTGAGAAACACATTTAGAGACACAGAATAAGCGCCCATTGCTGCTCCTTCTTTATTTTAAGACCTTCTAGAACAACCATTAGCTAGCCCCGGGCCCTGGAGGCCCGCTGGCGCCTTTTAGAGTGGCTCGCCGTATTCCAGCTCCCGTAAAGTGACGAGAACCCCACGACGTGCGTTAATAACTAAGATTGAATCCATCCCTTTTTACCTGGATAGTATTACTTCGACTTCAACAATATCCTGGAACTTGAGTCCGCAACCATGGCTTCTGGCCTTCTCAGACCTCTGGCGGTATTTTGCAGCCAGTCACAGTCTCAGCGCTACATCAAAACCATCAGGAACCTGGGCGATGCGTGGCGTAGCCTTGCCGAAGAGCCTCTTTCTGAGTGCGATAAAAACTCCGCTTTGGTTGAGACCAACTTTGACTTTGTTCTGAAAATCACAAATGCACTGGAAGAGCAACGCCAGTCGAACCCGACGCTTGTCGAGATGTCGGTCCGCGAGCCTCCCATGTCTACCACAACATCTCCATCCACCAGTCAACCCACGACAGAACGCCCACGGCGTTATCGGATCTTCGCTGATTACGGCGCGGATTTTATCTGGCGAGATCCGGGTGACATTCGCCCTGAAGAGGGCGATGCTGTGTTAGAGCCAGAAGAAGTACTCTCTTCATTCCCTCCGTCGGCTTTGGAATTATACAACGTTTGGGTCGACACATACGCCAAAAACTTCAAAGAAAGACGTGACAAAACTGGAAACTTTCATGCCACTACCTTTCCCACCGCTCTCGAGGAGGTAGCTTGGAATGTGGCCGGGTTTTTGTTGGCATGGCGCATTGTAATGGCGCCCAAAGTTGGGAGGATTGAGTACACTGCCGGTTGTTCCCATTATCTTCTTGAGAAAGGGAAGGAGACGAGTGTCACTTTGGCTTTTTTGCAGGACCAAGTTGATATTCTAGCCAATGGACCGGTGTCGTAGCGAGACTTGACCATTTGACCCATGATTTTGATATGTTGCCCTGATTTCCGCTTATTTATTGATTATCATTGTATATATCCTAAGGCATACGGGCTTTTATCCGTCGAAGGAGACAATTCGATATCCAACCTGGCACGGCAGTGCTGCGATAAAGATACTATTATTATACAGCCTTGGTATCATCATTACCAATCTGGTATTCACTCTATTGAACCTTTATTACAGCGAGTAATATTGTGCTAAGGCTGATTATTCTGACTCTATCTCTCACCTAGGCTCTGTACACGGTATTATTTAGTTCACTATGATATGTTTTTATATAAGGTTCAGAAGAAGTGATTGGTGGACAGTTAAGTGGAGCCAGATTAGTGGTAGGCTTCCGTTCAGTTCCAAGGTTCGAAGTACCTAGGATAGACGATAAACGCTAGGGCGATTCTCGAAGTTATTGGTCCAGTCCAATCAGCAGGATTAGCCGTGGTGGTTTCAAAATAGCTATCCACCACCAGAATTGCGATTGAAGGTTAAGGGTGGGCAGGGACTCTTTGCGAAGAAGGCGTATTGTGGCAGTACTATAAATGTCTTGTCACATGCTCAGACACGACCTTCGTCTGAACCGATAAAAGGCAATGGCTTTCCTGGCATCTGAGGATTTCCTTTCCCAGCATATCGCGTTCATTTTCTGCTAGCTCTCTGCATAATTAACAACCAGTAGGGAGACCCTCCCCTCTAAAATCAAAATCTCCAAACTCCATCGCCTTCTCACAGAATGCTGACCCTGGTATTGCCAGCCCACGACCCTTGCGCATACACCGATGGCCACTGGCTACATCAAGATGAGCTGCGGCTGAAAGCGCGCTACGTCCGGTTCGATTTCTCTCGCCTTGTGAGATTGCCATTGGGCTGAGTGAGGGCGCGTCTTGTGTCACCAGCATTAAAAGAAGGAAAGCGAATATACCAAGGTCTTTATCCTGACTATGGACACGGGCAAGCGTGTCGTTGCGAGGATACCAACACGCATTGCCCCACCACCACGGCTGACCACGAATTCGGAGGTTGCTACCATCGAATATTGTACGGAAACCGGGTCCCAGTGCCCCTTTGCGTAACTCACAGCTAATTTACCCATAGTACGATGGAAGATATGTCTCCCAGTTCCGAAAATCCTGGCATGGAGCGATGACCCTGCAAATCCCACCAGGTCTGAATACATTATTCAGGATCATTTTGATGGCGTCCAGTTACATGAACACTGGTCGCAGATGGATACATCTCAGCATATGCTGTGCACAAAAGCTCTTTCTCTAAAACTTCATGAGATGGCAGGCTTGGACTTTCCAGCGTATGGCATATCTACTTTGCCGATGCACCCATTGAAGGCGCGAGCTTGAAGATTCCACTGGACGATGGCTTCTGTATTGGCTCTTATTGCAATCTACTCTTTTGGAATTGCGGAGCTGGCGAGCCAGAGTTCTATGGTCAACCGAGTTCAAACCGCGGCCTATGTAAGTATAAATATCTCTTTTTATGTCAACTGCCCCAAATTTAGGCTGACGGATTTCTGTCAGGGAGAACCTTTAGTGATTACGCATCTGGCTTGATAGATACGGCATTCTCCCGCTTACCAAACGAACAAGTTGCTGCTAGAGATCCCCGCCCTTTTCGAGGCTCAGTTGAAGACCACAAGCACTTGTTGAAGAGATGCCATGAAACAATGCAAAGGTTGGCCCAAGACGATCGTGTCCAACAAGCCGCACTTCCACTCTCATACACGCAGATTATAAAAGAGAAATATCTGCATCTCTCCTGATGATCCAACAGTAATCACCGGTCTTATCGACTGGCAACTAACATGTATTGAGCCAGCATTCATATATTCTCAAAACACCCCTGATTTCGCTGCCCTCCCAGATATTGATCCGGTCGAGGAAGATGGTACACCAAAGAGTCGCGACAAAGAAAAACTCCTGAAAGATCTTTCCATCTGCCACCAAACCTACGATGTCATCGCAATCTACAAATGCCGCAAACTCCGCCCCGGACGACAAGTTGACTCCTCCCTCTTCAGGCTCTTCCACTACTGCTTCACATCATGGCGCGACAGCGCACCAGCTATCCGCCAGGAACTCATCGGCCTCAGAAATCTCTGGCCAAAACCTAAGCTGCCGGGCCTAGGGTGCCCATATGCACCTACCGAATAAGAGCTTGTAGGACAGGCACGCCAGTTTGAAGATTTCGAAACCATGCAGAAATTGAAGATGCGGTTGAAAATCTCTACGCACAACACTTCAGACGGATGGGTGCCGAATGAAGTGTGGGATATGGCGCAGGAGGCTAATAGGGAGGCGTACGACGAGTGGATTGAGGCGGCTAAGGAGTCTGAAAAGAAAGGGGGCGATATGACTGTCGAGAGAGCGGATAAACCTTGGCCTTTTGATTCGCGGTAGACTTTATTCTGTTATGTACTTTGCCTTTCTCTGTTTAAGGCAAAAAAGGCGTGCACAATGTTCTCTATCTGCCTATTCAGTCTCGGGAGCTTGTATGAATAAATCTACTTGGGAGGCTTTCCTTGGTCCATTCATTTCGCCACCAAGCCTTAATTGGTAAATGTAGAATCAGCGGTGCAGAACATGATTAACCAAATCTTTGACCGGCTTTGCCAATACGCTGATGTCGGCTTGCTAAGCTTCTGTCTTTTCAACTGATATCGTGACGTGATGGAGATAGAAGATATCGGTGCGAAGCAGTTCGTTAGCCCTTTACCTCTAAGCAATGATAAAAGTGAGGAAAACACGATGCAGATAACAGTTGAGACTATGGAAGAGAGCAGCTTGCCGGGAGAAGGGAAATCGCCGCCATGACGTGAGCGAGTGCTATAAACTTGTAAGCCGATAATCATCGCTAGACATCCTGAACGGCAATGGCCTCAATCTTTTCTGACACCGATGTTTCATGTGCTGAGAATAGTGCCTTGTTTAAACCATTTCCTTGCAAAGGCCACAATGGCTTCATTCGTGGGCCCATCGGTATGATGAAGGAGATGGCGAGGTGATGGCGATGAAGATGGCGATGAAGATGGTGAGGGCGATCAACTTCGAAAGCAGGAGGCACGGGTGGAACAATTGCTTTTCCACTCCGACCAAGATCTCTTCGCCTTTCTCTCGTTGCAAGGTCCCATCGCTAGCGAGATAGCTAGGAACCCTTCTGCGTCTTTTGAGAACACCAACTACATCAAGGGTACGTATTCGATACGACAACCCAAGAAGGATCTGTCTATGGGGAAAATTGCCTTTTTGACTGCAGAATATATCGATTGTGCGGGATTATGAAATCCATATATGCCCTGAGCTTGAGGCACTCTCTGGCCGGAGTTCCGATTATTGAAGGTGGTGCGTTTTAGCAAATCGTGTTATCCATTTTTCACTGTCGCCATATCAGGAAGCCGCCTCTCCGCATCCGGATACGGCATCCGGCCTAGCGCCCCTCGCCGCTTTTGTTGTTTTGATCGATCATTCTTTTTGCTCCGTCTCTTCACGTCGCCTCACCTGAATGCGTCTGGAGCTTACCCTGCGCTCTCCCTGTACTCACCCGGTCCCGATCCTCCATTTCCACCATCTTATCTCCGTGGCACATCCCTCGAATCTCACCCTGGAGCGGCCCGCGCGGGTTTGACATTAATTCTCCGTTGATGCTCATGCTTGCTTGCCCTGCCGTCTGATCCTTCTAGGTTTACAATCGAGACTCTGGTCTCATCGGAGATTACTGGCCCATAGGGTGCTGCCGCATGACGCCTGTGAATATAGTCTTGCTTCCATTAGTCACATTAAAAGCATTTACAACTACGAGTCGCAAGGCTTAAAATCAAGACGCCTTCAGAGCTCAAGCTGCGTGATACAAATACCAAGCTCGTCTAAAAACTCACCGATGTCGCCCACCCTCAATGAAGTTACAGCCAATTGAGGGCTGGCTCCTTGAACGATATGCGAAGCAAACTTGCGATGACCCATGGTCTATTAAGCGATATTCAGCATGCCGCCTACTCAAGGAAAGCGGCGTACCATGCTACCTCTGGGCCGAAGATGCTTTAGCATACTATGGAGTACCCACGGCTGTCTTTGACGTACACATCGTCGTGGGTGATGTCAAGAAAGCCGCAGACGCACTCGTTGAAAGAGGCTGGCACCCTCCGCCTCCTGACTTTGAAGCGCCGTACATCGACGTTGAGGAGGCCACTTGCTATCTTGTTGAACCGCAATGCAAGAGCGCGGGCCCCTCAGATTCTGTGATCGCTCTTACCGCTGCCTCTGATTGGGATATCAAGCTTCCGGACATTGCTACACAGACAAGCCGCCATCACCAGAGAACCGCCAGATGGCCCTTTATTCCAGCGTTACATCAACTTCTGGATTCCCTTATCAGAAGATGGCTGGATACACCTGATGCGCACTGTTTTTTTCGCAGCCACATACGCTGCTTTTTGGGCTATCTTTACGAATACGTTCCGATTTTAAAACTCAGAGAATTTGCTGGTTACTTGAAGGTGGAGCACCGGCAATACCATTTGGATGTGGTTGCGGGAGTCAGCTATACTAGGGAGCCTTTTAGAATCCATTCACAGAAGGTCCGAGATTCCATACTCAGAGGGGAGTATGAATTTCGCGAGTGCTCCGTTTCGAGGGATGACGACCAATTTTTCACAGCTGGTGTCGAGGCACACTTGCTGGCTATGCTCCCACCCGCAAATCATAAATGAATCACATAGTCTATAGCCGTCTCAATAACAATTGTTCTAGGTGCTATGGTTACGCAATTATTATCCATATCATACTTTCTCATGTTCCGCTGAGAAGCTTTCTTGCAGTTCACACTGAAAGATAACCCAAATTTATGGTACAAGCCCGTCTCATTCACAGTTAAATGATCTTATTTCAATAATGAACTTATTCGATATGCATTCAAACTCCAGCGCCAAAACAGGGCAGAGAGAAATCAACAGCCGTCAATGATACGAGCGCACAAGAAGAAAAAAATGTGGCAAAAGGTAAAACTGCAACAAGCAAAAAATCTGACAAGGATGAGTGAGGTATTCTACGTGAATTTGATCGGTTGAGCGATTTCACCTTCATGGCACTGCTACCAATGCGTACTGAGGTTTTTTCAGGAGGTGCCTATTGACAGAAGCTCGGATTAGCTATTGCATGCGAATGTTTAGGGTGGACTTTACTAGCCTGTACTTAACTTGAACCCAGCCTGTGCCCACAAAGCCTTATCCCCGCTGATGGGCAGTACATCGCAGTAAACCAATCGTGGAATTGTTTGGTAGCATTCGGGACTTCTGCCGCAGTCGGTTTTGGGTGCTGTGGATTGTTCACAATCCACCGTAGAAGAAATATGATATCTTCAGCGTCGGTGCGCTTTTTGCTTTCGTTGGCCCGTCCCAAGATTGACCGGCATTTTGCATTGAGTATGAGCGCGGGTTTGAGAATACGCACCTGTTGAACTTCCACCGTTGGTGTCTCCGCATTATATGGTTCTTTGAAGAGCGCTGGTGGTGCCAGGATCTCAATCTCGACCCCTTGATAATAGGTGTGGAGAGTTCTCGGCTCGATAGTAAAGGCACCTGCATTCCGAAGCTCTTGTCAAGCAACGCCCGTCTGTCCTGCAGCGACCACGAAATCCACATCCTGAGTAAGACGTGGCGAACCGAGAAGCATGCTGCTCCACCGATGACAGCGTACTTGGTCTGGTGCAATGTTGGGTTAGAGGGTGCCATGGCGATGAGTTATAAGCGTGGCTATGCTAGGACCCTGTCCCATTCCTGGTACGTCCGCCCTGGCTCCTAGACTTTCGAGGACTCGCTCAAAGACCGATGCCCAATACCACCTTGGTCGGTAATTCAACCCCCCAAGTGATCTTACAGCCCAATTGTCGGGAGAAATGGTCTAAAGATCTGCTATGAAGAAATAGAGGGCTCTGGAAAATCTCGAGTTGCATAGAGAGAGAAAGAAACTATCTACTGCGTAAAACTAAAATGTAGGTAGGAGCAAACCAGGTCACCTGAACTCTAAACACCCCCCACGACTACATATATGTAGTCGCACCATAGTCTGAACAGAAATCCTCCAAGTAAAAAACCAGATAAACATGCCTTGAAATAACGCCCGTTAAACAAGTAAATGGGGGAACGTGAGTACCAACTATTATTAAAAGAATTGGTGGACCATAATGGACAGTTGGGGCCAAATTCAAGGTCATGCGCAGGCCTACAGGCATCAATGATTAGGCGTCATGTAGGTGACATGACCGTCTGATGGGCGCGCATTCTGGCAAAATGTCTCAATATTGAGGACTAAACTCTAAACGTACAAAAGCGTCCCCTTGGGGCATACTCTTTATCGATTTAGGTCAGTGGGGAAACGGAGCTCACCCGTACCGTTCAGAGATCACCGTCCTGCTTCGTCCCCATCCTCCCATCCGTTGATTTAGACTCGAAAAACCAGGTCCGACCAACTTAATAGTCTCTGCAGGGTACCTGGAGGTACCTGTTGTCCTCAGATTAGATTGAATAAGAGCTAGTAGCTGTGCTGGACTTAAATTCTAGCATTCGTTGCAGACTAATGTCGGAAGTGTATTTATTCGGCAATGCCCCAAGCCGAGTTGGACGTTCCGGGCTCTGCAGTTGCAGGAACTCTAGACTGGGTAGCCATGTTTCTAATGTACGTGAATGTAATAGCTGATATTAATAACTTGGACAGAAATAAATGTGTTTATAAATAGTTGTTATTGCCAACCGCGGCCCTGGATTTAATACGATATGGCGCACTGGCAGCTATGCACTGCCATACCTGGATTGTATGACCGTGAGTAGTTGTTCGTTCCTGTTCATAGTTCTTGACTGGAGACTGCAAAATCACCGAGAAGCGAAGTTGCTGGCTGTCAACTACAGCTCTTGATTAAACCCCGCAGAATCGCCGAGACGAGCAGTTCTCGACTGTGTATCTCCAAGTCTGCGGGCATCCTCCGTGCAAGGAAGTTGCTTTTCAACCATGGCCCTTCGGCATCACCCAGCCTGGGGGTTTTGCTAAATGTTCCAAGGTAGACATAGTATACACGATGGCTTGTAAATTAGACAAAGAAAAAAAAACTACCACAAGACGTGATGGGAGCAAGTTATAGACTTTGTCCTTGATCCTAACCGAGGTAGGCACCAAACGTCTGATTTCCCCTTTCTCTTTTTAGCGTAGATATCGAAGATATATTTTTCATAAATGATATTGTGTAGCAGATTCTCTCTGGCACTTATTGGCTTTTATATTTCGTTTTAGTTAGAACGTGCTTTGTCTCGTATTATAAATGTAGGTCCTGGTTATCCCATAATCCCTTGTGGATGGCGGGTGCTTTTGTTCATCACGTAGTAGCTGTACCAGAATCTGCGCATGCCAAGCTGTTTGGGAACAGCGTAGTCATTAAGCCACCGAGAGATATCTAGGTACTATTCGGCACGCACTACTTCTGCTCCGGTGCGGGTGCATCGCCGTGGCGTAATTGGGCGCCCCTCAGCGATGGTGAAGAATTGTAATATATTGTCCGTGAACTAAGACGTGGGGAATGCCATCCTAGAAATGCCGGGGCCTTGGACAAAGGTCAGTAAGCAGACATACATGCTTGGATAATTGGCAGTTGGCTCCAGGTCATCCAACTTGTCAAAGTACCTTTTGGTAATTGGAACGTACCTACGATGTTGTAGAAGACTCGAATGTCCTAAAGAACCGAAATGCCGCTTAAATCTGCCAATTACCCAATTAGTATATAAGAGGGAAGCGGGGATTTATCGGCTTTTGTTGTCTCCGAGTGCATCCCTTTGCCCCTAGCAGCTGCCGGACAATTATCGGACTACATGCTAGAGAAGGAAATACGTCTGTGAAGATATATACTGAAAATGCCAAGACAATGCCTATATACGTTCAGGCTTTCCAGCCGACGAGCATGCTGCCCTGAATGGTTGGTACAATCGAACAGAAATTAGGGGGAAACACATATATAAAGAGTGATGTTGCGCTCGATTTAGGAGCTAAGCAGCTTACATTTACATCTAGACTTTTGACAAAGAACACCAAAGATGAAGGCAGCGTCTATTCTGTCTCTGGCAGGTCTGCTGTCATCAGTCAATGCCCATGGATACCTGACCATCCCTTCAAGTCGTACTCGGCTTGGATTCGAGGTATGATCTCGGATGACGAATTCGTGGAGTATACTGGACTGACCTTATTAGGCTGGCGTTGATACCTGCCCTGAATGCTCCATCCTTGAACCAGTCGCCGCCTGGCCCGACCTGGAAGGACCCCAAGTTGGCCGGAGTGGACCATGTGGTTACAATGCCCGAGTTAGTGTTGACTATAACCAGCCTGGCGCTGACTGGGGCAACTCTGTCGTCGCCACATATACTGCAGACCAGGTCGTCGAAGTGCAATGGTGTGTTGACAATAACGGTGACCATGGCGGCATGTTTACCTACGGTATCTGCCAGAACCAGACGCTAGTTGACTTGTTCCTCGATCCCAATTATCTTCCAACCAATGCCGAGAAACAAGCTGCTGAAGACTGTTTCTTGGAGGGCGAATTAAAATGTACAGATGTCCCTGGACAGACCTGTAGCTATAGTCCGGACTGCACTGCTGATCAACCATGCTGGCGCAATGACTGGTTCACTTGCAATGCTTTCAATGCCGACAGCCGACGTGGCTGCCAGGGCGTGGACGGTGCTCCATTAAACTCCTGCAAGACAACTATCGCCGGTGGCTACACCGTCACGAAGAAAATCAAAATCCCAGACTATGACTCGGCCCACACTCTGCTGCGCTTCCGGTGGAACTCTTTCCAGACGGCCCAGGTCTATCTTGGCTGTGCCGATATTTCCATTGCGGGGTCGGGGTCAGGATCGAGTTCGACCACCTCTATGACTTCTACGACGAGTAAGACGAGCAGCACCACAACCTCGACAGCAGCAACTACATCATGTGCTGTCACTGCCACCACCGTCCCGGTGACTTTCAAAGAGCTGGTGACCACGGCATATGGTCAGAATATCTTCCTCACTGGGTCAATCAGCCAGTTGGGCTCCTGGTCTACCTCGTCGGCGATCGCTCTGTCCGCGGACTCATACACGTCGTCGAACCCATTGTGGACCGCCAGTATTGATCTCCCCGCTGGTACCACTTTCGAGTACAAGTTCTTCAAGAAAGCGTCGGATGGTAGTATTACTTGGGAAAGTGATCCTAACCGGAGCTATACTGTACCAACAGGCTGTTCTGGAACTACCGGTACTGCAAGTGGAACCTGGCGGTAGAGGACTTTGGTGAATCACCGTGGAAGGAGAGCTTGGGTAGAGTGGTAGACTGTCGTGATGAATATGTACATAGTGGACAGACTGAAATGGACGGGACTTGATCAAGCAGCATTTAAGGATAACCATCGATGTATGAGCTACCTACACGGGTAGATTTGTTCCCAAATCATCCGTAGACCATAAGACCCATATTATACAGGGTACTTATCCCGATGTCCAGGGCTACGGATTAACTGGGTTGTACATGCCAAAACAAGATTGGTTTCGTGACTGGCGAAGAGCTATGTATTGTATACTGAGGATACCTCTCGGTATGTATCGATTGATGTACGTGGACTATACCAAGGCACTAAGTATTAGGAGTAGAAAGAGATTACTCGGGTAACTAGAAGTATATTGAGATTGTCGTCATTTGCTAATATGCTAGTCATATTGATTCATTATTTTCTTGGCATATCCCAAAATGCCCATGCGACATTAATCGAAAGGAATTGGGCGTAGATTCGATCCACCCATGCGCTTGCGCATCTCAGCGCCGGCAGCCACGGTACTGGGTACCTTGATGCCGCAGCAATCACCGAACCAATCTGCGCTCTCATGAGGATGGTCGTGGCCATGGGCATGGTCATGAGCGGCATGCTCAACATCTCCCTCTGAAGGATCAGTCATGCCTTCAACGGCAGGCAGAAGACTTCCGAACAAGAAATGCTGCATAATAGGAAGCTTTCCCAGCACCTCCTTAACAAACATCTTCTTCATGCCGCTCTCGACCTTGGTCCAATTCTTAGAACCAGAGATATCGTCCAGCATAGGGCTATGCCAGCGCAGTCCCTTCACAGTCTTGACACTATCGACCCATCGGACCTGATCCAGATAAAGATACTTATCGCCCTCTTCGTCCAAAGTAGCCGTGTTATGAATGCCCAACGGAGTGATATACGGGTGCCCGAGAAGTTGACTAGCCCCGAACAAGAATGGCAGGAAGTGGTAGTCATCCAGACCCCAGACACCATGCGATCCAGCAGGTTCAAGGTAGTAAGCCGACTGGATCTCGCGCATGAGATGCATGTACTCGACATAGACCTTGATCACGACAGCGGGGAAGTCGCTGGCGGGAAGATGACCGAGCTGATACAGACATAGCAGCCACATCATGAAGTTGAGTTCGTGACCGGAGCCGTAGTCAATCCGCTCTCGTGAGCCCAGGCAGTTGATTAGATACGTCGAAACTTCGTCGGTTGCGCCAGCGTCTTGCAGCCCCAGAATATTGGTGTGCCACGATGCGCTTTGGGCGCTTACATCGTCGCACAATGCTCGGAAGGCGGGGTTACCGAATCGGGATCCACCCTGGTCGATTGGCGGGTTTTTCGCTAGGAGGGAGCGTATCTGAGTGACGATTGAGAGGACCTTGGAGATGGATTCGGATTGAGGCTTTTTTTGGAGGTCCGGGATAGAATGCCCCCGAACGGAGTCACTTAGCCCGAAGATGAAGGCAAGAACAATTTTGTGGGTTGGCGATGAGAGGAAGAGTTCATGGTCTTTAGGTGATAGGATGCGGCGGATTGGTTGCTGGTATTCGTGGGCGGAGAGGTCTGGCGGCGAAGGGAGAGGAGGGGTTGTTGGAGTTAGGTCTCGGGAATTGGAGTTTGTCCTGCGGGTGTTTGACCGCACTTCAGATAGCTTTTTGGAGAGATCAACCTTCCCCGTAGGAGATGGTAAAGATGTCTGTGATGCCATTCTGTTGGTTGAGTGAGGGGGAAGGAAATTGATAAGTCGGATAAGTCGATAAGTTGATAAAGAGCGGAGCAGGGCTGACCGCCTGCCTTAAACAGGGGATGACGCAATTTGCTAGAGGAGAGAAGATAATGAAGTGTTAGTAGTGAAATTATACGTAAAATCAAAGAATTTCCTCAATTGGAGTAAATATGTACATTTGACGTCCATACCAACATGTCAAGCTTTACAAAGTCGCACTGACACCTCAGACAAAGGCTTGGCCCAAGTGGGTTAGAGTGGAGCATGTGATCGCTTCCCCGGATTGGTCAGGTGACTGGGAGATCATCACGCTGTTCCACGCTTTTGCTCGAGGTCACATTATATGCCACATGATGGCCACGGCACCCCGAGAAAAGCAGTAGGCAAAGGAAATGCAGATAGCAAGGCTTCAACATACCAGACACAGCTATTGTTTTCGATCACTGTGAACATCTTGTCACAAACAGCAACTTTCCATCCCGTGTTGACATAAAAAGAACCCGGCGCTTCAAACTTGCATAAACTTGGTCCCTGGCGAGCTCGTATTGGACAATATTGTCCAGTGACAGATCAGCAGACAAGCACGCCAGAATGAATACATTCGACTCATCGGCGCCCCCTCCGACAGGTCCCAGGTCCTCTGAAGGTGCCAAAAACAACCAGTCATCGTCACGCTCGCCCACAGATTCAGCGCTATCATCGTCCTTCGGCAGCAACCGGTCCCACTCAAGCTCCTCGTCCCGAAAAAATGCGCGTAGCCAGAACCCACTTCAGACCTCATCCCAATCGAACGAGTCCACCCCAATCAACACAGCTGGTCCCGCTGGTCGCAACTATCAGTCCACAGAGGGAGCAGGCGCCTCCCAGCTCAAAGACCTCCAAATAAACAACGCGAACAGTGGCAATGGCGCCCAACCAGTCAACCAAGCCCCGGCTTCCGAGCCCCAACAGTCCTGGTATGGTCGACTCGCAGATCGATACGGCAGCCTCGAGCTAGAGAACAAAGGCAGTGTAGCCCGCGATCACCTCGCATTAGGTACGATATGCGCGCCTACCTTGAAGACCCAGCAGAAACCCCTCTGACATTCACCTCCTTCCCAACAGAACGAACCTTCCTAGCCTGGATGCGCACCTCCCTAGCCTTCGCCTCAATCGGCATTGCAGTAACACAACTCTTTCGCCTGAACAGCGCCTCGCCAAAAACACGCGCCAACTCCTTCGATCTGTCATCCGACTCACACGCAGACATACTTCCACCGTACCTCGCCTCGTCGAGCTATGATGAGTTTCACGTCAGTGCATCCGCCCGTCTTCGTAGCGTGGGTAAGCCCCTCGGCTCGACTTTCATCGGCGTCTCGATCCTTATCCTTGTTGTTGGCTTCCACCGCTACTTCCAGAGTCAGTATTGGATTATTCGGGGGAAGTTCCCGGCTAGTCGGGGCAGTGTGGCACTTACGGGATTCGTGGCTGCTTCGCTGATTATTGCTACTCTTGCGGTAATCTTGGCGGTTTCGCCGGGGGCTGTTGAGACTTAGTTTGGGGATTGGTGCAGACTGGTCTCTCTTTTTCTCTCTTTACATTACTGCTTCTGCTGTGATAGTCCTCATTTGGTTTCTTGCGTTCTGCGTGCAGCATTTTGCATTTTCGGGTTCCTTGAGTTTATACATACGTTCCTGCCTAGGAATGTGGGTGGCCATTTTTTGATATTGAAGAGAGGGATGAACATGTGCATATGGGTATGCTTTTGTGTCTCGGTATACTTATGTTGATGATAGATTGTATGCAATCATGATCATGAGTTCGACTATGCTGACATGTATGTAGGTAGTTCATACATGTAGATAACCTACAAAGCTGGCATACAAAGAACAGCCGATAGAAATATTCGTTCTTTTCCGTCATGAACGCCCCGAATCCACCCGCGCCAGACCAGTCTAGGCACAATATTGGAAGCAGGCGAAAAGACAGGGGAAACTACAAGATGGACGGGAGTGTATCGACAATGACGGGGGAAGGTGGAGTCACAGAAGGAAAGGTGGACAGGGAAAAAAGACCAGGGCAACATGGCTTGCGAATAATGCGAAGCAGGAAATCAGAGAAAAAAAGGAGCAGACCAAGAACCGCCTAAATACAATCCGTTCATCGCGGGCCGAGCTTGTCCAGGGCGCGTGCACCCTGTTCCTGCCACTCCTGCTTGCTCACCCACATGTCGTCCTTGTCGGCGATCTGAGGGAAGTTGTGTTAGCAAGGCAAAAAGATTCAAACGAAAAAAGAGGGAGACTAACCAAGTTGGCGAGCACGGCGCCACCCAGGAAGACCATATGTCTCCGGCGCGGGGGATCTTCGATGCGGACCTTGAATTTCTGGAAAGTCATTAGCCAAGTTATATTGATATTCTCTGCTGGGCTTCTTCGACGTACGTTCAGGCGCTCTGGGTCGCCGCCCAATACCCGGGTGAGCCAGAGCTGCTTCAATTCCTTCTCCAAACGAGAGGGCAAACCGGGGTACATGCTGCTACCACCGCTGAGCACGATGGCCTTGTATAGACTAGAGCGAACATCGACATCGGCACCCTGAATACAGTTGAAGAGCATTTCAGCCATACCGGGCTGATCAACGTCAACCAAGTGCGGCTGGAAAAGGCACTCGGGGGCCTCGAAGCGCTCGCTGCCGACTCGAATAACACGGCCATCGGGCAGGGTGTACGATTCGACAAGAACAGTGGTGTCTTCGGAAAGCTTTTTGTCCAACTCGAGGTCGTAGGAGACGTAAGCGAGCTTCTCCTTGATCTGGCGCACGGTCTCGAAGTCGGCGGTTCGGTTCAGCGCATAGCCGCGGCGCAGAAGGAGGGCAATCAGGTTGCGGGTGACGTCGCGGCCGGCGACGTCCAGGCGGCGAATGTGGTGGTTGAGTACGGTCGACTCGTACACGGGAATAATGTGTGTCACACCGTCACCAGAATCCACAACCACACCGCTGCTCAGACCTATAACATGACATCAGTATTGATCCCGAACTCATGCTCCTGTCTTGTATCACGTACCCTGGGCATACAGTGCCAGCACCGCCTGGATCGCCACATAGACACCACCAAATCCGTATCCTTCTAGCATCACCTCGGCCATCTTCTCGCGGTTCTTGAGAGGGTTCATTGGCGGCTCCGTGAGGAGAATCTTGCGATCCGTGGGGTCGATCTTCATCTTCTCGTAAAACGTGTAGTTCCATAGATGTTGCATGTCATCCCATTTCTTGACAATTCCATTCTCCATCTAAAGTAGCGCGGGTTAGGCATTGATAAGACATTCGTTTGGTCTGCGGAGAGGGCGGGGTAGATGACCAGGCGAGGACAAGACTCCCGGACATAGACATACAGGATAGCTGATCTGCAGCATTGATCGTGCAGCAGCGGCTTCATCACCGCACATGATATCCTTGACCACGATGTCGCCGCCTTGCTCCTCCGTTCGCAAGATGGGCCGCCCCACTATCGAGGGAAACTGGTGCTCTGGGAAGTTCTGATCAGGGAATATAAATTAGAGAAGAGCAAAATGAGGCTGTAGTGGTCGTGCGACATACCTGGGCGGCATAGCCGACCTTGAGGAAGCCGGTTCCTCCATCGAGGACTGCGGAGTAGCTTGTTAGCTTGGAGCTGGGACACGGTAGCCTGGGGGAATCGGTGTACCAATGGGCATTTCCGCCATCTTGGAGGAATTGGGGATTCGACGGATGGGAGTAGGGGTACCGTCGGAGACTGAGGTTTATTCGGAAACTCCCAAGATGAGCGGAACTAGGACGGTTCAGGGGAGAGCGGAGGTGTTGGGGATGTTTGAAGTCGAGCCCACAGCAGATGGAGCATCATAACTTACGTGACCGTACCGTACCTGATATTCACCCCACAACTGGGGGCGAGCCGCAAGCCATGACGGTATGTGACGGCATCAGCGCATTCTTGGACCAGACAAGCTCAGACGTTATGGATTAGGGCGTAAATTAAAGCTTTTGGTGTCCTCATAAGTAATGGGAAGGTGCTGAAATCAATATATGCACAGGCTATAGTACATGTGGAACGCCTCACATTAAGGGGCGTACACGTGGACTTGATTACAAGGGCACACCAAGCATAGAATATGAGTAAAGTGACGAATGATATATTCACAGTAATAAAGTCAATCGGCTCAGTCTAACTTGAAGACAACCAGAACCCGTTGATAGCGTTAAAGAGCTTCCTGTCGGCCGACTCCGATATCCTCGGGAAACACGCGCTCCACCATTCCTATCGTCCCTGGACTCATACAAAGGTCACATTGCCCTACTCGTAGACACTTTGCCTGCTTTTGGACCAATCTTTGAGCTTGTTGTCTATATATAGTACCGTCACCCATTTGAATCCGCACCCGAGGAAAACAGCGAGTAACGATGCCACAAATCGGCTGGGTAAGTAACCCCTAGAGCATCTATGGGTTTGAACAAAAGCACTAACAATGACAAAGTATGGGCTCGGGTCCATGGGCCTAGCAATGGCCTCCAACCTGCAGCGCCACCTAGCCACGAAGAAGGCCACGAGTCTGATGTACTCGAACCGCACGATGTCGCGTGGATCACCCCTGCAAGCACTGGGAGCAACCGCAGAACCCAACTTCGAGAAGGTGGTCTCCCAGTGTGGAATTATTTTCACCATGGTAAGCCGATTCCACCAGAAAATACGTAACGACGCAGCTCTAAACCCTCTCCTAGGTCTCGAATGACTCAGTCCTCCAAAGCCTGCTATCCACCGTCATGGGTTCAAGCCAGTCCCTGAAGGACAAGATCTTCGTCGATTGCTCAACTGTGCACCCCGAGACTGTAAGATCGGCTGTGTCGCAGCTGAAAAGCAAGGATGCATCGTACGTAGCAGCGCCCGTCTTCGGCGGAAACCCAATTGCCGTGGATGGCAAGCTTGTTTTTGCCATTGGTGGCCCTAAGAGTGCGACTGAGACCGTCAAACCTCTGATCCAGGATGTGATGGGTCGGCGTGTGATTGATTGCGGTGAGGATGCTACGAAGTCCTCGCTTCTGAAAATTGCAGGTAACATTGTTACTGTCAATATGATGGAGGCTGTTGGTGAGGCTCAGGTCTTTGCTGAGAAGACCGGGCTCGGAACTGGTCCTATGGAGGAGCTCATTGGTGAGGCTTTTGGTCCTGTTGCTGGAGGGTATTCAAAGAGGTGTGTTATGATATTGTTCCGGTGCTGGCATCGGCTCTTCATACTTATCTTTGTTTCCAGATTGACTACCGGGGCTTATGCGCCGCCCTTGCACTCCCGTCCTGGATTTGGGGTTTCTCTCGCCATTAAGGATGCCAGACATGCTATGTCGATGGCCCAGGAGCAGGGTGTTGAGCTTCCTGGCCTTGAGATTGCTCGGGCCAACATGGAGGCCGCAAGGGAATATGGCGGGGAGTGCCTAGACAGCAGTGCGATGTATGGGACTCTGCGCCAGAAGGCTGGTCTGGAGTTTTGGAACGAGAAGAGCAGGAGAGAGTAAAATCAAAATCATGGATCACGTAAGATACAGTGTAATTATTGATATCAAGATCTGTATTTATTTAAGTGCCCAGACCGAAATGTTCCCTACACACATCATCTATTGACAACACACATATGACCAGGTGAGGTGACCAGTGGCCCTTCTCACACCATGCTTGAGCCCTTGCATTGGGACTCCCTCAAGAAAAATCATACACCTGCCCCCCAAAAAATCAAACAATTCGACTCGCTAAAAGCCAGGAGTTCCTTTTCGCCAAAATGAGTAGTGGAATTGAAAAAAAAAAATAACCAAGGTCAACTTGGTAGAGGTAGAACAGTGGTTGGAATGAAGCCAGCTTAAGCGGGTGTATAGCCGCTTGGTAAGGTTGTTCCGTATGAGGTGTTGCGCTGTGTTTTCGGCTTGATTCGTACGGTGTCTGCCAAGGAGGGATAGCTTTCTGCAAAGCAGGGCCCCAAAGACCAATTGGACAAATTTCTCATATGCCGTTCGAAGACGGGGTTGATGACCAGTTCATCCGAGTCGCTGGCTGACAACAAACAGTCCGTGTCCTCGTACGGCCAATTGACGCTGAGATCACGTGTATAAGGGATGAACCAGTTCTCAAACGGGTAGTCTTGATAATTTGTGATGATCCTGTCACGCATTGCCGGCCAGGGAGCGTAATCCATCCAAGCAGGGTGTGGATGGAGGAGTTGTGTTGGGCGCGGGGTTAACCACTCTGGGAGTCGCTCATAATTCTCTTGCGTAGGGTAAATCTGCCAGCGCATGAGAAGGAACATGACGTAGAGAACGGCAACCTGCTCTGGCAGAGAGGATATGTCTGGAAAAGTGCGCAGGATATCTGTGAAAACTTTCGAGACTGGATGGGAGTAGACACTCCTCTCCGGGTTCAGCAGCGATGAGACACTCGGGTACGGTGGCCCAGCTAATTTTTGTCTAGGGATGCCTTGAGCTGCCTCGCGTTGCCGGCTATAAAGGAATTCCAAAAGAATGTTGTCCAAAGGACATGTCGCTGCTAAGTTTCGTATCGGAGCGGCGAATGCAGGTGGCCCAGGCTCAGAGGTAGTAGTCAAGGGATGTGGGTATATTGAAGAGGAAGAGTTCAGCTGCTGACAGCGGAAGTTTTCTGAGCTGGTGCGATGAAGCCGGTCGAGTTTGGGAACACTCTGCGAATCGCCAAGAAGGAAATTAAACCCTAGACGCTCCTCGGTGCCGAGGTCCAGGCCATGTGTGATATTATGGCGTTGCGAGTCCCATGCGACACGAAGAGAGGCCGGCAAAGGGCCTCCATTGTGACTGTTGCGGCGACTCCCGAGAGTGGGTGCAGAATGAGTCGGAGAAGGCGTATCAAGGCTGGCAAGAGACTCGGCGTAGGATTTATCGCCTGGAATGGGGGTGAGGTGATCGGTGTCAGGCAATGGGGATGCATGCGAAGTGGGCGGAATGGGCTTGGGTATAGCTTGACGAGGGGATGCGTCTATCTCTATTAGCTTGAGACTTGAATTTTATTTGGATGCACAACTGACCTGGTAGTTCTGGCTTAGCTATCAATGGTTGGAGAATGTCCATTGCCGCCTTCAGCCCTTGGCGAAGCTCCGTGTTCTCCGACCGAATCGTCGCATTCTCACGTAAAGCTGCTTGAAGATCAACATAGGGTTTTTGTGACGACAGGTCTCGGACCTGTTGCTCCAGAGCCTCTATGTGGCCTTTGGTCCTTTCTCGAATTGCGCGCTGCGCTTGGCGGTCGTTGGCCCGCTTTTTTGCTAACTGATCGGGGGTGAGATTGGCAACGCCTCTTGATGACATGCTGTTCAGCTTTCGCTTGCGTCCTGATGTCGCGCCATTATCCAAGTCTCCTGTCCCATCTATCGAGGTCGCACGAGAAGGAATTGGCGAGTCTTCGGGTCTGCTGAGGGGAGTAGGTTGCGAACGGTCAGGCAAGTCGAGCAAGTCGGGCGAAGGCGCCACATGCTCATCGGCGTTTGTAGCGCGGGTGGCCATGGCCTTGCACACGCGCTAATTGAGCTTGGCCATTCAGGTTGGGAAAAACGTGGAATGGAAGTTGAGGAGTAGCTCTGGAGTACGTGTTTCGTTGAGTAGGTGAGGGTTGTGGGTCAAGAATGTTCGAAGGTTCACAACGTTTAGACTTTCATGCAAGATAGACTATTATCAGCCCTAGAGATTCAGTGGACTCGTGGGAATAAACGGACTATCTTTGTTCCAACTACTATATATCTAGGGACAAAAAACTCCAATTTCTAAAAGGTGAGGATGAACATGAAGCATTGAGTATCAAAGCCACAAAAGAAAAGAATATACAGAGTATCAACGCCATATACAACCTTGGGACAAGCCCGAAGGATCAAGATTATGCACAAAGAAAGGATTCGGTCGTGTCGATCATATACAAAAGGCTTTTGTAAGTTCCAATGCAAGAAAGCATAAGCCAGATGAGAAGGTGTTGGGGGCAAAAGTTCAAAACGACAAGCTCAGTGATTATTGGATCATATGACCCATTTTTGAGATCTATCAAAGTCGGTACATTAGTATCAACGCCAAACCCGGCAATGCTTCGCAGACATACCTTGGTATTCAGATAGCCTTCAATCTCAGAGCTCTTAATTCCTCGCTGACCGCCAGTCCGCCATGCCAATGGGATCATCGGCACCCGCTCTTTTACAAGAACTTCCCGGTTGGGGCCTTCGATAGCACGGACTTTATCGGGGTTGTTGGTAAGCAGACGAATTCCTTCTGGGATGGCATCGACGCCACAACCAAGATCTTCCAATATGGCCGTAGCCAGTCCATAGCTTCGGGCATCAGCCGGATGGCGGAGCAAAAGGTTTGCTTCAACGGTATCCGACCCAAGATCCTGGAGATTGTATGCCTTCAACTTCTCTCCAAGACCGATTCCGCGACCCTCCTGACGCAGGTAAACAATCACACCGCCTGTCGAATGTGACGAGAGAGACTGGACCTCTGGCGGCGCATCAGAGGCAAGATCCTCCACAGGGAAAGACATCAAGCGCGCCGCCTCATCTAGCTGCTCGCCGCAATCGCACCGCGCCGACCACGCCGTTTCTCCAGTATAACACTCCGAGTGGATTCGCACAAGCGGGGGCTCGATCTGCTTCGACGTCGAGGTTGACCCGGCCTGATCATCATCATACCGGCTGCTGACTCGACCGGGGTGCAATTTGCCAACGTACGCGCCGCGGATCATTCGGTCCATCTCGGTCTCCCCTGGCCGAACGCTGTCCAAGCTCCGGCTACGAATATTGTTTCCAAATACAATGGCCAAATGCTCCTTTCCATCCAAGTCATTGTGGTAGAGGTGTAGGAACATTTCTGCTCCGTTGGTTGTTGGGATTCGCGCCCGCACAATACATTCCACTGCTGGAAGCTGCGGAAGTAATTTGGGGCCTTTAGCTTCGTGGCTCTTATTGTGGATATGTGCTGCCTGGGTTTGGTGAAGGACTGCAGTGGGATTTAAATCCAAGTTCAATGTACCACCGGGGGTTGCAGGTGGGGTGAATGCGGGCGACAGGAATGAGTCCGGGAGGGCCGGGGTCTGTACGCCTGGGGCGATGCCTTCCTGACTCGAATCGTCCGATTGTCCATCTGCTCTGCTCGGGAACGAACGTGGGGCGAGATTTGGTGAGGCATGGGCCGGTAGGTCGGTCATTGCGACGGCGGAGAGGCGGGGTATTCGGAAGGTGCGTGAGGACCGCTGCAGAAGCTCTAGTGTACCGGGGTAGGAATTGAACGGCGCAGCTGCACCAATCTGGCGGAAATACAAAACAAGTCTGTTAAATGGAAAGATTTTAATTGCGAAGTAGACTATGCCCCGGCTACGCTCCCTCTGACCTCGGGAGGAGAAGAAAGCTGAGTCATCTCTATGTCACCGCTTACTCTAGCACGTTCTCTCGGCCCTTGGTCCAGCCAGGAGGACTGTCGGCCAAGACTTAGAACGTTTTTAAGCCTTCCAAGGTTGTTGGATCTTAATTACACGTGGCTTCATAGTGGCCCGGAATCAATCCATTAAATATTGTCCTCACTTTGTATCAATCTAGCAACTTCCAACGTTGAAGCCGATATCGGGGAAGAAAAAAAAATATAAACATCACAGTAATTGATCACGCCACCAGTATTTAAGTGGCATAGGTATTAGCGAGATAAGGCACATCCATCCCCAAACTCTGGCTGTCTCCAAAGGGTTGGAACCGTATCATACTTGTCCGTATTGTACATGTTCGTCGAGAATGAAATGTAGTACCGTGCCATCAATCTTCGCTAGACTCGGCACCTCAGTGAGACGGTCATCGGGCACTATTTCGGTCCAGAAGCAGTGTCGTAGGCCATTGGGAGTAACAGCGTCCGAGTTGAGATTCCGCAATATGATCGGAGTGGTGGTGGCTTGTGTTGCCGTCCACCTTGTACACAACCTAGTAGGTTCCTGCGTCTTCGAAGCCATTCGCAGACGAGGACAGGCTAGCACATTGTCCTCCGCTGCATAGGATTTCGCCTGTTATACGCAAACATCTTACATTGTAGAGGTCTGGAACTGCTCTGTTCAGCCCCAGCTTTCTCCACGTAGATCCCCCGGCCACTAAGCCAAGATCAGAAATTATCAGTTTTCAAAAAAAAAGAGTTTGTTCGTTCTAACTAAAGCATCTAGTCAAGATGAAAGCACCCATATCCATGGTAGGCCTTCGAACTCCAGATAGCGCCGCGCTTAAATGGTATCATCATCACATCAGATCGTATAAACAGTTTGAGATTACTTGCCCAGAATATCCAGCACAAACCGCCGGTCAACCTCCATCTCTTTATCGTCCTCTTCGCCCTCAAACTTGAGGCGATAGACGTCCTTCCTGGCGCCCATCACTTCCGCGCGATAGAAAGTGGTGGTGTCCGGGTATCGCGCGAGGACCTGCTTGCCGACCGGGTACGTAGACAAGTGGGCGCTGAGCTGAGGAATGGGAATGAGAGAGGCAGCGGTGGTCTTGTAAACCGCCCCCTGCTCGCCATTCTCATTCGGCTCAGGGTCCTGCACATCATATCTGAATCAGACATGACGCGTCAGTCAATGTAAATCGAGAAGAAACGCAAACGACCTAACACCACTTACCGTTTCTTCGGTCCGTCGCCACTAACAGCCTTGATTATGCATTGGATCCCTTCGCCCTCGACACCTTGTTTATTCTTGTTGTGTTTGAAGACAACCTGGGCCCCAACCACCAGTAAGCCACTGCGTTCTGCGGCAGTGCCCTTGGTCCCCTCTGACGGGCCTTCCTCGATCTTGACCATGGCGTTATCCTGGCGGCCCCCTTCGCGGGCTTGCGTGCTAGACGAGACGCTTGCGCTGCGTGGGACGGTCCCCTTTGAGCGAGCGGTCTTGTCAGCCCCCGAGGCACTGGGGGAGTCGGTCACCGAACCTTCGACTTCGTTTCTTTTCTTGCGAGACTTGTTGAACGATGCGGACCGATTTGGAGGTGCTTCGGCTTCGGATGCTTTTCGCAATGCAGTAAGCAGTTCTAGATTTTTGATTACATCGCATGGCTCGTCCTGCATGATCGAGCGCTCGTCTTCGCTGAGCTTCTGGCTCAGGCGGAGCCAGCTGTCGAGTTGGTCGTGTTCAGCCATGGTTGGTTCTGCTTGGAAGAGAATTGTTAGTATATTGTTAGTATATGCGGTCAATAATGAGCTTATAGTCGTTCAACTAATCGCAAGCAAAGCGCATGTTGGATTGTGGTATAGAGCCGAGGGGTCTAGTGCGGGGGTACTGACGGTTGCCATCATGCGCGATCTTGTCTACTAAAGCTTTAATCTGCGCAGACAATGAATTCTGCTGATCGAACTTCTCCTTAGATTTTCGAATATCCTGGCAGATCTTGGTCCAGAGCTCCAATTCCTCATTGTTGCCAAACCCGTTGTCTCTGGGTCGGGGGCGGTTGCGGGACATCCTCGGACCGTTTATCCACAGGGTAGTGCAAACAATGTGTAAAGATTATGAACAGCTTACTGCTGACCAGAACCCCTGGGAATGAGACCTCCAGGTTTGAAGCAACAAGTTGTTGATCTGAAGGTTGGAGATGCGATGATAAGGGCTCCGTCCCCGGGCGGTCGGGGTTGATACGCTAGACTACTTTGGGACAGGGCATTGCAGATGCATCGACTTTGACAGTTGGATAACGTACTTCTTGTCTTGTCTATTGTGTCGTTTGTGGTCTAGTCTGAGCGGGCTTGACCTTATTAAACCTATTAAAACTATATTGTCTCGATGCGGCTACAGATTTTGGCTATAACTGGTAGGATGTTTGCGGAAGTACCTCTTGAGGAATCCGTGACAGATTGGGATACTCCGTAAATCCCAGAAACAAAAAGCTGGGAACGTGCCTGAGTGAAACAAGACCAATATTTCCTATAAAGCTCTGAACGTGTGTCATAAATATCATATGAGACCCTGTCCGACACCTCTCACCGAAGGCTTGGCGGGGAATTTCAAATACTAAGTCGTTGGTTGCCCCTCCGCCTTTTCCCCCAAACATCCATTTCAATATGCAGGTACCACTACTTCGGCTGCAATGCGGTAAGGTTTGAGATGCTAAAACAGAGGGAAAATGGCTAACATATCTTCCTTTAGGCGTCAATAGCTATGACTGGGGTAAGCTAGTACCACTTGCGACATTCTGTTCCCCGCACTGATATCTCGTCATAGGCAAGGTCGGCCAAGAGTCGGCAGCGGCAAAGTATGCAGCCACGACAGCCGCCCCGGATTTTGCGATTGAGGCCGACAAGCCCTATGCCGAAGTAAGTGAGAGCTTAAGAGGAAACATTGAACGCAATGGGCTCATAATTCATAGCTCTGGATGGGTACACATCCATCTCTTCCCTCCATAGATGTCGAGACGCAGCGTACCCTCCTCGACATGGTTCAGGATAACCAGGCCCTACTCTCCACGGATATCAGTGAACGATTCGGAGGCAAACTGCCGTTTCTGTTCAAGGTCCTTTCCATCCGTAAAGCGCTCAGTATCCAGGCCCATCCCAACAAGAAGCTCGCAGAGCAGCTCCATGCCCGGGACCCAAAGAACTATCCTGGTAGGTACTTAGGATAACACTCAATTCATGATCACCGGAAACATGACTAACCAGTTTTAAGATGACAATCACAAGCCCGAGATGACCATTGCCATCACGCCGTTCGAGGGTGTGTGTGGCTTCCGTCCGCTCGCAGAGATCACCCATTTCCTCCAGGCCGTAAAGCCTCTGCGCACCCTGGTTGGCGACCAGGCGGCGAGCGAGTTCGAGCAGAGCGTCAAGGGCAACGAGAATTCAGATGACCCTGCTGCCATCCAAAAGAACAAGGAAGCGCTACGCTCCCTCTTCACCACCCTGATGGAGTCATCATCCGAGAAGATAGAGGAAGCCTGTAAGGACCTTATCTCGGCCGCAAACAACAGCCCCGACAGCTTTGCAACTCTGGCAGGTGAGGTGGAGACGAATCCTACCAACCCCGGCGAGTTGGCTGCGCTCGCCAAGCGCCTGGACGGACAGTTCCCGAACGACATCGGCCTATTCATCTTCTTCTTCCTCAACTTTGTCAAGCTGCAGCCTGGCGAGGGTATGTTCCTGAAGGCAGATGACATCCACGCGTACATCTCCGGTGACATCATCGAATGCATGGCGTCCTCCGACAACGTGGTGCGAGCGGGTTTCACCCCGAAATTCAAGGATGTCAACACCCTCACCCAGATGCTGACCTACTCCTACGCCCCAATCGAGGAGCAGAAGATTCAGGCAACAGACTACCCGTATGCCATTCTGAACGCCACCGCTTACTCTAGCGCCTCGTCCGCGATTCTCTACGACCCTCCTATCGACGAGTTCAGCGTTGTTAAGACTGACTTGAACCGGACTGGCGCCAAGGCTACTTTCGACGGGATCGAAGGCCCCAGTATCTTCATTTGCACACGTGGCAAGGGCAGGATTACTGTCGGAAGCAAGACCGAGGAGGTCCAGGAGGGCTATGTTTTCTTCGTCGGCGCTACTGCTGAATGTGTGATTGAGAACACTGGCAGCGGTGAGGACGATGATGATGTCTTTACGACCTACAAGGCATTTTGTGAATTGGGCCCGACCGGTGAGACAAACTAGGTCAATGATAACTAAGTTGTTGTATTCTAATCTCTGGCGTCAAGATGAAACACCCCGTTGTGGGATCGGCGCAAACCTGTGAAGCACATGGAGAAAGGGATAATATTCCGGTACAAAATATTAAAATAACAAATACTAAAAGAATGAAATGACAAAAAGACAACTTAAAAGCTCTCAGGCTGTAGTTGCCATGACCCCGAGGTCTCAGAAATATTATACCAATGGGCCTCTAAAGCGCCTAACCTTCGCACTAATGGAGTTATGGGATTACTTGCTTGTTAAGTTCCAAGTCAGATTTTCCTTCATCCAGTTTGTTTGTTCTCTTTCCCCCAATATATATAAGCGTCATTATAGTATGGATAGCACAAGTGGGAGAAGGGGTTAGGCTCAGGCACCTCAGGCGCTAAATGATGTTGGTAATATCATCTCCCATATTGATTTGAAAACTCTGTCCAGCATTATTTTCATGGTCGATATTCCAAGATATCTTTAGCATCTGCGAGATTCAACAGGATATATGGCGGC